GTGCCGTGTTAGAGAAGTGCAAGCCGGTGTAACGCCGAGATACACTGTCTTGAAGAGATGCACTGCCTCAGCTGTTTATGATGTAATGCAAACCTGTGCATGCGCGTCTCACGGCAGCCAAAGCATACCAAGATGGCGGACCGTGAATTGCTTTAAAAGTTGAAATACGAACGAATTAAGACACGAATGTCACTTTTAATGCAATTTGAGGCGAGATGTTGATGGTCCCGTTTTGTCACATGTGGGTTTTAAGAGTCAAAGTTTCGTGCAAAGTTTAGTTTAAGCAGTCAACTGCGCCTGTGAAACCACAAAGCTAATGTTTTCATAGCAGTCCGCGGCTGCTGACGTTGGCTGATGACGCGTCCTGTGGCAACTCTACAGCTTACAACTAGTCTGTCTTTCTTTGTATCAAACGGAATATTGGCGCCCGTAATAGCCCCTACATGTATTATTCACTGTCATGCCCGCCGTATATGGACATTTTTCAACATGTGTTCAATATCCTTAATATGTTTAACTGTTGATTGATTCTCTGATCTGTGTTGGTGACTTCAATGTTGTTTTAAGTCCTCTGAGATGACTTCTACTGTATTCTTTCAGTAACTCTAAAAGAAAGGATGACTGGTTGACCTTTTTATTTGCTACACAATGCATTGTTTTTCTCTTGTACACTCTTACTTGAATTTTATTTTTGAATTATGAGTTTAAGAAAAAGGTGAGTGGCAGAGTTTTGACTGTTATTTTTATATGAATGAAGAATTTAAGAGATGCACTTTAATTAATGGACTTCAGTAATATAGGCCTATGTGTCTTCAACTTAAATGTTAAACTCTGTTGGTTCAGGAAGGACGCCATGACAGGCTGATGGCTCCCACTGTTTTTGCTGGAAAAGCACTCTTTGTTTAGCTTAAAGCCTTCAAGTTTACATTGGTTACTGTTTTCTTTTAGTTGCTCTACACAAGTATTTGGCTGAACTTTTTCATATTTTTATTGAATGCTAAGCATCAAATGTTTGTTTCAAGAATGATAAGATGCACTTTTTTCAGTAAGCTGTGTTTTCAAGGCTTTATGGTTTTATGCTACCTCTAAGAATGTCTTATTTTTGAATTTTAAGAGCAAGCAATACATATTTTTTGTGAAGGAATTCATGTTTTTTTCATTAAAATATTTAAATCAACATGTATACATGGAGGCGTCTACTCTGTCAATGTTCAAATCCAGGTTAAAGACTGTTCTGTTTGCCTGTGCATACAACTGAAGGATTTTATCTCCATTTTTAATGCACTGCTGTCATTTATTTATTTTTTTAAATTTCTTGTGTAATTTTGAAAGTTTTAATGGTTTTATTCTTTTGTGTGATTTTAATGTTTTAATTGTGTTTTAATCTTTTGTGTGATTTTAATGTTTTAATTGTGATTCTGGTGTTTGTTTTATGTGATGATTTGTGATGTGGACTGTGAAGCGCTTTGTGTTGCCATGTGTATGAAAGGCGCTCTACAAATAAACTTTGATTGATTGATTGATATACATCAATATTAGTCAATTAATGGGGAGATAATCGAGAATCGAATCGAAGCGAAAAAAATAATCGTTAGATTAATCGATGCATCGAAAAAATAATCGCTAGATTAATCGTTTAAAAAATAATCGTTTATCCCAGCCCTAGTAGCTGGACATTCTAACTCCTATAAGGCTAGTGCTCTCTGGTGCACATACAAGCAAACCAATAATGCAATCTTTATAAAAATATATAATTAATAAATAACAAGGTATAATTTTATATTAATGGTACATGAGTTCATAATAAATATAAAAAATAACAAATAAATATTACAAAAAGATATGTCCCTGTTTGTAATCAAATACATTCCAATAACATTTTGATCAAAATGTATTTATTTCAACCTACTTTTTGACTTCTGATGTCCCAGCGTGCGAGTTGATGGACCTCTTTGCTGTAAGGTCTGGCACAAATTGCCCGTGGGCGTGAATGGACAATATAAAGACAACACGCCCAGAGCCATGTGAACCGTATAGTCTATAGGGTGAAATGGATATCGGCCTATTATATTACTTGATTATTAGATCTAGTTATTAAATGTTTGCTTCCATGTGGACTTATCAATGTAATAGAGCAGCTGTGTTTTCACATGCAAAGACGGCAACAGCAAAAATGCCACTGCAATATTCCATGATATTCATTAAGTAATCTTAATTCATATAGTGCCTTTCACAGACCAGAGTCACAAAGGGCTTTGCAATAGTTGTGGGCATTTGTCTCTCACTCCACACAGATTTGAGGAGGTCGCTGAACAGGAGGCGCATGCCAGAACCATTGTACATGGTTTTAGTGGTAGGGGAAACCGGAGCACCAGGTGGAAACCGGAGCAGACACGGGGAGAACATGCAAACTCCACTCAGAAACACCCTGTTCCAACCGGGTTTGGAACCCAGGACATTCTTGCTGAGAAACGAGAAGGTCCATATGACATTTGCGGCTAACAACTCGGTTTGCAAAATCTCCGCTAATGCTACAGTTTTTAGCTTTGGAAAATCTCACTGACCATTGCACAAGATCAACAAGTAAAAGCACAGAATACCAGGAGCGGAGAGTGACACTGTGGCTCTACTACAAACTGCCCTTGTGTCCGTAGGCAAGCCACTTCCAATGACTTTGGGTCCTGACAGACGCCACATGTCATTACATTGAGCAAACTTTCTCCTCTATCTTTGTGATTTGTGTGTTGTGCTTTTTTTTTAAATGTATCGTAATTTCAAATATATTTTTAAATGTATGAAGTTGTACAAATTAGTTTGAGTACGAAGTTGTGAAAATACTTCTTGGGTCACCTTATAAACATTCATTCCACATTCATTCCACAGCTGTATAGTTATCACTGCATAAGTGGTTGGTTTGGTAAGTCAAATTCATAACTTAAATCTTAAATAAAACCATCTTAACCTTTTCTGGATTGTAAACGGACATTTTACTTCCACATCTAGAGCAGACTCCTAATTCCTGCAAACTGAGACATGCACTTTTTAAGAAAGCTTTAATCACATCGTACAGCAATAAATCAAATCATGTTTTTGGTGTTGTCTCCTCTTTCCACTTTGCAAATTCATGTTTTTTTATGGAATATTTCATTAATTAATATATTTTTATTATTATTTCATTTGTTTTGTTGTGGTTAAATTGTTGCCAAAACATATCAAATGTGAAAAAGACAATGAACCTTCTGATAAACAGCAACAAAGTCCTTTTACCATGCCAAAGATTTTGTTTGTGTAAATTAATTAAACACAGGATTCCATTTCATTTATTCCTGCTAACTGACTGGTTTTATTTCAAAGACAATATTTTATGCATTGATTTGTGATTGTCCATCCAGTTTCCTATGAGACATCTGTGTGTTGTTGTTGCCCTCTGCTGGGCCCTGAAGGTATCCATTCATTTTACCTACGATTTTTCATACAATATATATCTTATTGGAAATTAATTTATCACATATGTTGACTAAAATGCCTATACCCAAGATCTCAGCTGTTGATAAATAAAATAAAAACAACATAACAATACATTTAAAGAGGCACTCCGTTGACTTTTATAGAGGAAACTTTATACTGTATGTACAAAGGTCTGGTGCTGAGCTGTGGTCAAAGGCACCAGGCACAGGATGTAGCCCCTTCTGTCAGGGCAAGGCCAAGTTTAATAATCATCCATCCATCGATGCATTTTCTTACCCTTAATCCAGTTCTGGGTTGGGGGGTGGCAGTCAGAGTGCACCCACTTCACAGAGCACCAGCCCCTCACTGATCTTCCTGCAGGTGGTGAGTCCACAGGAGCCTTGGTCTTTCAGCGGGGGCTTCAGGCAAAGTGGGGTTACGTGTTTTGCCCAAGGACACAACAACAGCAGACATCAGTGGGATGTCTCATGGTGGGCTTGAACCCACCACCTTCACGCCTAAATGACACATATTTATACAAATTGTTTTTGGATACTCAGAATTCAGTTACTCCATACACAGAGTTGGAAGCCACAGCTGCCCTGGGAAAGACTGACAGAAGCTAAACCTTCAATCTGCTCCATTGGCTCCTCCAACCACCACTTTCATACCATTACTGGATGCAGTAGGACAGAAGGATTCTACAAGTCCATGTTATAAAAGAAATGACTGCAAATGTCCAAAATTAAAATAAAGTCTAGTCCCAACAGTGGTGAGGTTTGAAAAACTTTATTGAAAACACTTCAACTGACAAAATCAAATAATCTTTTTTTTTACCAAGTCCAGGAAAGTATATAATAGTCTATGTGCATACATGTGTATAGGTTTAATGTAGGATGTTTAAATCGAAATTAGTTTTTCTTCATCAAAGTACAATTGAAAACACAAATAATGAGGTATACCAGTGTCTCCCAAAGTGGGGTCCGCGGCCCCCTGGTGGGCCGCGAGGGTACTGCAGGGGGGCCGCGGGAGGTCATAAAAAAAATGAAAAAAATAATATAATTTTTTAATGTCAAATTTATGTTTTGTTTGTAATATTAAAATATTTGTGTTCATTATTTGACTTGAATAATCCACTGTAATCATTTTTGTATTACAATGTTTGTAGCAGAGGCTATTTCCCCAAAATAAAATAACCAGAAGAGCCTATTCTTAATGTTGTCTTCTTGGTTATTATTTTGGGGGGCCACGCAGACCCGTCAGATTTTTAAGGGGGCCTCGGTGTTACTGAGTTTGGGAATGGCTGAGGTATACAATTGAAGAAGATCCCTTAATAATGTCTTTCTCATACAACATAACCATCATTATAAATATACATATTTATACAGAAACATGACATGCACATGTTTTGTACTTTTGCTGTGGTTCTTCATTCTCCCCAGCCATTTTACAAGACAGTAATAGTATGTAGCAATAGTACTATGGCAGTAGTACTCGTATCTGGCAGTAGTACTGCAGTCTGCATCTGGTCAGCAGAGTACAGTGTGGCTCTGCTACTGTGGCTGCATGACGACCACTTGGCCGGTCTGTTTCTTGCGGTATTTGATCTCACGATGCATCTGGCAGTAGGAGCACCACTCACAGAAACAGGACGTGCAAATGTCCTTACACAGAGAACCCTGGACAAACAAACACATCAGCTTGCTATGTGGGAAACAAATAATTAGTCCTAGAAGTTTCAGACAGACAAAATGTTAATGTTTTTAAGTATGTGGTATTTCAAACTCATCCCACCGTACATAGCAAATACAACTATACTTAACAATACAAGTGACTTGCTCAACCCTCTACACCTCAGATTGTGCTGTATTGTTGAGAAAATACTGAATTCAATCTAGAGATGTAAAAAACTATGAATTTTCATGACCGACCACCGAGCCTCATTAACCGGTTGAAACCGGTTGAAACCGGTTGAAACCGGTTAACCGCGTAGTTTTAAATATTCCACGTTCTTTGAAATAACAGCCATTTCGAGCCGCATACTTTTCATAAGTGCAGCTCTGCGTTCTACTGGATCAGAGCCGAGACAGCGGCGCCAAAACCCGCAACAGCTTCGGCACCTTTGCGCACAGAGAACTGCTTTTTTAATCTTCCCGTTCTTCTGTGCTGCAGGTTAAAGCTCTTTAGCGGCAAACGACGGCTCGTTCACATGGTCAGAGCAGCGAATGACGAGCCGCGTCTCGCAGGTCTCCTCTAAAGTTTAAATACAGTGCTGTGTGTGGAGCTGATCTAATGCCAAGGACCATAAGCACAAACGTGTTCCTATGTGGTTTGACTGAAGCCGCGTATTTGGGCTACGTGACACAGAGGAGCGTGACAGACCGGTATGTGTGTATATGTATGTGTGTGTATATGAATGTGTGTGTATATGAATGTGTGTGTATATGAATGTGTGTGTATGCTCCAATGTAGTTCTAACCCGCACAAGAGTATGGATGATGCGTGTGGATGTTACGTATGAATGGAACGGGGAAAAGGTGCGCGAGTGTGAAATGGCACTTGTGTGTGCGTGCGTGAATGCGTGTGTGTGTATGTGTGCGCGGCGCTTGCGGCATGAAAGTCGGCTCGGAGTTTAATACAATGGCGCACACAGCTAGAGACAGACCCGCTCGTCACATCGTGCAAATAGAGTTTAAAACAGCGTTATTAAGAGACTTCCCCTCTCCCCCTTTTCTTTTTTTTAACCGACAGCTTTGACAGGTTAACGCTGTGACGGTCAACCACTGGTTAACCGGTCACCGATTTACATCCCTAATTTAATCCCTATAGTTGATTTGAGGATGGATAACCTCTTCACTATTCCTTGTGCATTCATGTTTTCCATCATCTGTGAACCTTCTGACATTCCAAGCCTCATTGTTTAGTTGGTTGGGACAGTGCATGCTATCGAATGGTGGAAACATATTTATGCAAGTGAGGAATAACAAAATCCAAACAGAAAGGCCCTGTCTCACCCAGAAATCAAACCTGAGGCGTAGCGCAAACCACTATGCCACCATGTTGCACACTGTATTGCTCATCCACTTGTACCGCTGTGACTTGACCCTGGCTGGAAGATTAGAGGGAGACCATGGAACTGCCTTTGAGGGTTGTTGGGCTGATAGAATGTTATAATTCTTGCCTCCTGCCTCATTATTTCTACTTCTACTGCCTACATTATTTCACTTTTTCATTCACTACATCTACTTGAAGCTTGGAACTGAAATCTATCTCATTGGGGCAGCTTCATCACTTGGTTGTAGGCACGTTTACCATCAAACTGTATCTCAACCATTTTGTAGAGGCCTACATTTTTATTTAAAACAAAACAAAACATATATATAGATAATAGGAGTGGATCTAAAAATGTAGGGTAAACCTGAGTGGTCAAGGGCTCTTCAAGGATTTGTAGAAAATGAAGTCAGAGTACCTCAGACATTTTCCACTTTGTTTTCTAAATCATTTTTGATAGTACTCCTACATCTCAATAACAATTTTTTTTCCCTTGCTCTCTTTAAGGAGTCTTCATTAAAGGATTAATATAGGACTTTTACCTTGATACCATATCTGTGCCTAATGGCGACCCTCAGAGCCAGGGCAGAGGGGGGCACACACAGGGGCAGCCCGCAGGATGCAGTGATGGCCGGGCTGAAGATGTCACAGAGAGGCAGACAGCGATTCTCCCCCAAGCCGCCGGCCACAGAGCAGGCCATGCACGGGCAGCAGAAGAAGCCATAACAGCCTGAAACAAAACATCCATGACCAAACTGAAGGGTGTGTGGATGTGAGGAAACGGGAAAGATGGATTCTTTTCTTACATGTGGTACAGCTGTCACAGCAGTTGAAGAGGCCGCTGTTCCAGTTGACCAGCTGTTGGGACATTCTGAGCAGGTTTAAGTAGTCTAAAAATGTGGAGAAATGCATATTATTATAATTATTACTACTACTATTGCAGAACATGTGCATTTCTAGATACAGACAAGTCATGTTTATTGATGTAGATCTGTCTATCTTAAGTAGTTTTGATATCTCACACTCTGATGCCTGTCCGTCCAGTTTTGAAGTGTGAAATAACAAAGCAAGTTAAGTGTGGTTTGATAATGGAGTTGGATTGGTTTTTGATGCCAAATGTAAAATAGTAGATACACAGATAGAATTATTAGGAATTATCATTTTCATTGAGAGCAATAAAATTAAATATTATATGGATTTTTATTTCAACAACAGAATAACAAACAAACTGAGCAAATATGATTATATAATATATATTGTTTGGTTGGGGGTCAGTCAGTGTTATGACTCAGTACAGGGCTTTTCCAGCACCTGTGGGTGTGGATGAATATTGAATGTCCTCCATGATGGAAAGTTTAACGTGCATGGGTGCATGCATACGTAGCGTGATTGGTGTTGCACCACACCCTTCCTTGTTTCTTGAGAAAAAAATAATCATAGTCACTAAATCCAAAAAATAATAATTTGAAACTAGCTGTAATTATGGTTAGATGGATATTTTTGGATTTGGTTTTATACGCATTAAAGATAAGTTACTACTTCTTCACTAGATTTTTTAACCAACCAATTATGAATACATATTTAAAATGTTTTTTTTGTAGACATCCTCCTGAACCTTTTACTAGTGGAATGACTCTACATCCTTTCCTAATGTCATACATAATTGCACAAAAAAAAAAAAAAGTAATCTATTATTATGATCTGTTGTATAGGATATGAACAGGATACTAAATACGAGAACTTATTAGCACAGGTCTGAAAGAAAAACCAAATATGCAGAAGTCATCATGGTCTAAATAATAATTCCTCACATCTGCAACTTGAGAATACAGTGATTTCTTTAAACTTGACATTAAATTATATTATGTTCTCATATTCTATCTGCAAGTCAGTAAGAGGTTTTTAGTTTGCATTACTTCCATCTACAAAATCAATAAATTCATCAACAATCAACTTTATGATTTCCCCAAAAAAATGCCCCCATAATATTTAGTTGAATGTCTTACCTGGTGCAGTGTGTGCGGCCTGCCGTCAGTGTGATTGCTGTGAGAGTGAGGAGTGGCAGGTGCAGTGTTTGAAAGGTGACTGAAAACATCTTATGAATGCATCACCACAACCTGCTCCGCTGCTCCAGTCCACCTCAAGGTGCAGCCCATCAGCTCCGTCCGCCTGGGAATCACCTCTCTGTTCTTTGGGCTGGACGGAGTTTGGTCATACTTGTGTTTTTTTAGCCCGGTTTACCAGAAAAGTCTCCTTCTGAGCACAAAGCATAGAGCACATAGAATAGGAGGCATACAGTATTACAGGTATTGAGGTCCATGGTCTCTCAGCTGTGTAAAATGGACATTATGACTTCAAAACGCCACTGTATTTTTGACAGCAGAGTATAATAATATAAGTAATAAGTAAGTAATAATAATAAGAAAATTACATTACATCATCATCCAACTTCATTAACATTGAAATGCCCTAATCTCCAACAACGATGAGTCCGCCTACAGTCCCCCCGCCCCCACCCATCCGTGATGGACTCCCCCATCACCTCTGTGGACTCCTTTCGTTTCCCGGGAACCACCATCACCCAGGACCTCAAGTGGGAGCCGACCATCAGCTCCCTCATCAAGAAGGCCCAGCAGAGGATGTACTTCCTGCGGCAGCTCAGGAAAGCCAAGCTGCCTGCACCGATGTTGGTGCAGTTCTACACGGCCATCATCGAGTCCATCCTCACCTCCTCCATCACCGTGTGGTTTGCTGGAGCCGTAGTCAGAGACAAGCAGAGACTACAGTGCATCGTGCACTCTGCAGAGAAGGTGATTGGCCGCAGCCTCCCATTTCTGCAGGACCTGTACGACGCCCGAGCTCGAGGCCGGACTGGTCGCATCTCTGCTGACCCCTCTCACCTGCACATAGACTGTTCCAACCTCTCCCTTCAGGCAGGAGACTACGGTTGATTTGGACCAGAACCTCCCGGCATGAGAACAGTTTCTTCCCCTCTGCTTTTGGACTCGGGAACACTTCATAACCTGCCCCGCCCTTTATAAAGTCACTTTACTGCCCTTTATGACGTCACTTTACAGCCGTCACCTTACTGCACTGCAGTATGTATATTGTATATTGTGTGCACCGAATGTACTTGTATAATGTAATAATTGCAATAATTTCACTTTTTCGTTTTTATATTTTAGAAAATGTTATACTTTAGTAATGTCTTATTATGCCTTATTCTATTCTCTACTTGTGACTTGTTTGCACCGAGAATCAAAGCATTTTCCTAGCCTGTGACTTCCTGTTATGTACATGGCAATAAAAATTATTCTGATTCTGAGATATGGGTCTATTGTGCTTGTATAAAGACTTTTGTAGCTTTATGGCTTAAATTGAACCCATAAAACATGGGAGCAAAAACAACATGTCTCTGTTTATATAATTGTTCAGTGTAGCTGTCATCAGAGGATATATAAAAATGACATAATAAAGTGATTTTGTTGTATTATTGTGTGTGACACATTTCCACTGGGAGGACAGGTTTATGTTGAAATTATACCGTAATGTTAAGTGGACAAAAACAATCACGTAGACCAGATGGTGACTGTTGAGGGTCTGGCCTTCTGGGTCTGTTGTTCGGCAACTCAACCTGAAACCATCACAGATCGAAAGTTTCTGGTTGGATTTGTGTATTTTCTTCTGTGGAATGAGTTCACTGTTTGGTGAAAAGAAACGCATTTTGGAGGATGAACCTGGGGGATTAGCTGATGAAGTAGAAATGAAAATACTGGAAAAAAATTAGAAGACATCTGATTTGTGTTTGCTTTATTACAACCGAACCAAAATCATGTAGATGTGTTTCAAGAATATTTTTTTCACTGAGTGTTGTGGCCACATGTGCTTGCAGCTGGAATGCATCTATCGACAGCTCACCCAACCCATGGAGGACGTCAGTAAATGCTTCATTGTTCATGTTTTCTTTCAAAAAGTGAAAGATGTTTACTGTCTACTGTGAAGTGCTAACCACTCTGCCACCAGGACGCCCAAATCATTCCTGGTTTCAGATTCAGATTTATTTTATTTTCCATTTGCAGTAAATGTTTTTGTGTTCCTTTTTATATAATTGTGAATGCTGTTTTATTAAAATATTGCAATATGCACTGTTAATAATATTCTAATTCAACATAGAGAAGTCATTGTTGTTGTTGAATGGGGTAAGGATCAGGCCATTTGTAAAACAAATAAGCAAAGCCGTCGTCATTCATCGCTGACACGTCAGTGGCCAAGCTCGTTAGGTTTGTTTTCAGATGGGAAGTGTCTCAAACTCTCCGCACCACAGCCTCACAGATGTTCACCAATTTTCCTGTTTCATGACAGCACATTAAGCTTTATTTTTGTTGTTTTTTTTAAACATTGGACATAACAAATGACAACAAAACTGATGTGTTGAACAATAATTTATTAAACATTTATTTTCTCCAAAAATGTCAATGACAGTCCACTCAAACAAGGTTCTTTTGGCCACATTGAAAAGGCCATGTTCTAGCGTCTTTCCTCTGGAAGAAGATACACAGTACATATCCTACGCCAACAGCTTTCTACAAGCTGTCATTAGATTGAATGCATTGGTCAATCTTGAGCTTTAATGCTTCATTGTATCTGCTCTATTCTCAGTTTCACAGTGGCATCCACATGTTATATTTGAACTAAGTGGAAAGTCAAAGCAATAATGGGAACAGTGCTGATTTGATGTTCTCAGTATGTCTTTCAGGTCATTAGTCTTGACTTAGTTAGGAGCTGATGTCGACTTGTGTCTGGGACATAAGGGGGTGACTCATGAGTGAGCTAATGTTAAAACTATTGGTGAGGTATACTTTGATGAGCCTTTGTTGTTGCAAAGCTAGAAGACAAACCCAGAACTAAACCAGTAGAACAGGGCCAGGACCCAGACTCCATCCCAATAATGAAAAAAAAAAAATCCTTGCTTCAATGCCAGGTTGTGAAATTTTACACATTGTAAGATCGTTTTAGTGCCACTTAGGTTAAAATGATTTCCACAAATTATAATGGCAAGACAGAACTGACAAGGATTTGACAGGGGGCCTTTTTACTGGATTGGGTTATGAGCCGTGTCTATCACCTCTGAATTGTCCTTCATATGTGTCTCCTCACGCTAAAGCTTGATCCCAGCTTCACGTCAGAGAGTACGTTCTGATAACTGGCTTCCTCTTGGGCTTCTGTTTGGGCAGCACAGTTTCCAGCAGCCTCCTCACCAGCCCAAGCCGTCCAGTCTGGATCAAGGCCCTGGCCAGCTCTGCCACCTCCTCCGGGTGAGTCCTGTACAGCAGCTTGAGCTCAGCCTTCACCGCGTCTTGGGGGAACCTCTCCTCGGCCCTCTTCACGCAGGCCTCCAGCTGGGTGATGGCTGTGCAGGGCTCTTCTTGGCTTGACTGTATGAAGAGCAGCAGCAGGGCCTGTAGGAGGCAGTGTAGAGCAGCGGTGTCAGAACTGCCGGGGCGCTCTAGCTCCAGAGCACGTTGGAAGCAGTTCACAGCGTTCTGCTCTTCGTTCTTCAGCAGGAGGCAGCGGCCACGCAGCATGTGCAGGTCCGGCAGAGCGTCTGCCTGTTTGAACTGTAGGGCCTGAGACAGGCTCACCAGGGCGTTGTTCACGGCAGCCTCATCCACCAATAGGGTCTCCTGTAGAGCATCCACTCCCATGTAATAGTAAACCTGTTGGCACAAAAGAGGTCTTGTTGTCAGTGATTCTTTCCTTAAAGCTGAGGACCATGGTACACTGTACTGTTATGTACATTTCTGTCCAATCACTGCTATAAGAAATTTGGTTGCCGTCTTTCCAGTCTTGCTCCAGGCCTGGAGTTCTGACTGCGGCACGGAAACACACTGTGAAACAGCTTCAGGCCTGGTTCAAAACACAGCTCTTTGTCGCGAAACTCTTTGTGTTTCCTGACACATCCATCAGGTGGAGTTTTTCAGTTTTCTTGCAAAGGGGCTCCATAACTGGTCAAGCTCTGTTCATTTATATAAAGTCTATGGTGTAACCAGTGCTTGCCTTCAAAAAGATTCACCCCCCCTTCAAAATGTTAAAGTGAATGACATTCACTTTAATGTCTCTGCACAAAAGCTCATCCTCCAGCAGAGGAAGCTGTTTCCCATCATTTCAGCATGTGAGTCATAATACCTGACAACTTTGTTTCAATTGAGCTGCATGTATACAAAATACAATACAATATTTACTTTATTTAAAGCTGTGTTACCTTTTTCTCATTAGTCATACAATGTTTTCCCAACAGAGAGAATCTTAAAAGAACAGAACACAGGTTGTAGGACAGTAATGTTTGCACTCTTGTAACTGGAACTGATTAGTCATAACTAAAAGGTTGACAAAAGGCACTATAATATTACATATTGAAACATATGGTGGACCTCGTACCTGTGCCATCTCCAGGTGAGTTCTCAGACAGGGGCGCACACTCAGCACTTTGTCCAGGTCTTTTCTGGCCGCGGTCAAGTTCATTCGCTCCGGGAGTCCTCCTTCTCCGCTCTTGGCCTTTTCCAGATCTCTCACATACTGAATCACATTAATCTAACAGGATATGGAAGAACACACATGCATTAGAATTAGACTATACTATATCTAAACCCAGTAATTCATAGACACAGCATATTAAAAAAAAATATCTCATTCTTAAAACTGGGGTACTTAACTTTACTCAGTGTAAAAACAGTTGGGTTCTATCACTGGTTTTCACATGCATGTAATTTTTGCCCTCTGTCCCATCTTTAGATCAGTATTTTCCGAAGAAAGTGGAAAGAGAGAACCATCCTGCTCTAATGTTGTAGTAAGTAATTGTAAATGGATGATTTTCTGTAAAGTTCTACACTACAGAAAATGATGGTAAAATGTATTTTAATTTAAGCATATGACTGCTTTTAAACAAGATTTGCCAATGAGACGAGGCAAAATTATTAAAGCAATTTATTCAAACATTTATTTTCACCTTATATTGGAAACAATGTATTTAAAATCACACCATAACTACACTATCCAACTGCTTATTTTAATCAAGGTAATTCAAATAAAGAAAAAAAATGCCATTGCTTTCTATTTCATTCAGTCAATAGCCTTGTGTATATTTCTTCAGGATTAGGAGAAGGGTTCAGAAAAGTTTGGTTGATAGTTTTGGGAAAAATGCTGATCAGGTCATGACAGAACAGACTCAGATGCAGGAGCCTCTAACATGCAAATATCCATTGAAATCCATAAAAATACAACATTGAGAAGATTGAAAGGGCAGTATCAAGGCTAAATGCTGATTAAAGGAATAAACTTTAGTTACCCCCTATAGGGAACTTTGTCCAGACTTATAGGATAGAAGGTGATTATTATTAGTACCTTGGCACGGCTACAGTAGGCCTGCCAGTTGAGCTCGGGGTCCGGCAGCACGTTCAGAGCCATGTTGCAGATCCCTGTGGCCATCTCATGTTTGCCCAGCAGGAAGAAGACTTTGGCCAACATATTCAGAATGAAGGCATCGTCACTGGCCAGGTTTATCGCCTATTCACAAGCCCACAGACCACACATCACTCAGAAACTTTCAACATGATACAATTTCCCTCCTAGTTTAACTTGTGTGTTCATATAATAATACTTAAACTGTAAATTATTATTGCTCTTCTGCTGCTACTGTGAAATATTTGCCAGGGCCAGCAGAATGCAGCAAAGAGAGGTTTTGTGCTGCAAACATGGAACGTCTTGTGCTTGTGAATTGACTCAGAGAATTTTCTTTCTTATGTGAATATTGTTTGGAAGACATTTATGACTCTAGTTCTATAGTCCTTAGATTTCTTACAATAAAAGTAAGGAATAAACAACAAGGAGCTGTGTGGTTGTCCCCAAGAGCTGCACAATGAAATTCTTTCGCTTGTCTGGTAGTGCCTTGTCAAGAGCACTATGCGTTCCTCGTCTACTGTGCAGGAAGCTAAACTTTGAAATACAGACTTTTTACAGAAATTAATTTTCCTGAATGACCTGTTTTCTCACTAAAACATAAAGAAGAAAGTATGAATGGTCTTTCTGCTGTGGCTGCAGAGGTAATCTCCTGGACCCTGACGTCCCTGACTCTCCTGCTCCTTGTGTTCCCCACTGCTCCTGCTGCAGAGGCTGGAACTCTACAAACTGAACAGACATTTTATGTTTGGGATCAATTAAAAAAAATTATATACAGATATCCGTCTGACATTACATTTGTATGAGTAGGACTGTGCAGATTAAATGAAAAAAGTAGCCCATAAATATTGTACAGCCCACAAAGCAATTAGCAGTGGGGTTTCAGAGTACTATCTATAGTGAAATCAACAGTGCAGGCAGTTTCTTTCAACTAATTAATTCTCCAGACAACCTCACATCCAATAAGAAAAAACACAGTATTTTATGCAGATGGTACGAAGTAGGATTAGCTTGTAAGCGAGTATAACATGGTCAAGAGAGAAGAGAATTTCATGTGCATGCAAGTTGTCTGTGGCTTTGCTCGTGAGTACTCCTATGGGTTCCCAGACAAATGAAAGTCCATTATTTTCACTCATGTAGAGCATGGAAGGTTGTGGGCCTTCTGTTTGAACCGTGTGATACCACGATAGATTATACTGACCGTTGCGTAGCAGGTGAGAGGGTCTGTCGCTGAATATCCACAGTCGTGCACAGACATGGGAATGGTGACAAACTCGTCTTTTCGCTCCAACATAATGCCAACGTAACACCAGGCAAGAGCTGGGGATAAGGACACAAGTATAATAATAATTTAGTTTGGTTGAGAAGTTCATTGTCATGACTGGCGATAGATGTGAAATAGAAAGTAACTTATTTTATGTCAACATTTCCTCATTTAAGGAAGCTATACCCGATTTTTTTTCTAAGTTCATAAAAATGCTTTTTACTACATACATGTTGTATTATAATGCATAATTTAATTGAAAACTTGAGGTAATTGATTCAGCTGTGTAAGAATTACAAGCAGTGAAAAGTGCTGAGTAGAGTCTTCTCCTTCACTCACAGAACAAGAAGCAAACAGCCTGCGTCCTCTAGCCTCTACAGCGCTGCTAAACACCAGGGCTTCGACTTCAAAATTCGAATATAATTCTAAAATAAAAAATATATACATATTTGAACAAATATTAGACAACCCTTATAATTCGAAATGTATTTAATGACTGCAAATAAAATAGTTAGCTCCCAAAAGTTTCACCGTGACGTGCTAGGCAGGTAACAGCTAAGCTAGCTAGTTGTTTCACGGTAACTTCCGGGTTTTTCGCAATCGCTTTTTGTCACATTAAAACAGTATTAATAAGTAATAAAGGGTCTGAAGAATTGCATTCAAGTCAACGGAGTGCTGCTGCTTTGAGGAGCTCTATAACAAATTATAATTATATATTAGAATATATTCTAATGTTTTAAATTAATACATTCGGACGCGAAACTAGCGGTATTCTTTTACTTATATATTGTGTTAGCAGTGCGTTGCTTTAGTACCATTTCATCAGTGATTGTTGTACAGCTTACAAGAAGTTGTGCTAATGCTAATGTTAGCATATGTATCAGATCGCAAATAAAACTAGGTGGCTCCGTGGGATGAGAGCGTAGGGGAAATGAGAAGCCATTGAGCGAGTTGGGGGGCGGTGCTAAACATTCAAACATTGCAGAAACGGGTATAGCGCCTTTAATTGTTTTTTTTTTCCAATGCCCACTAATCAACATTTATGCCTGAAGCGTCAGTGTAAATGCGCTGGACTTAACATAACTGCTACATTTCAGCCGTAGTCCCAAGGCAGGATCCTGGGTAACAAGGCCTCGCAGCAACAAATCATAAAATTAACTATTACAAAACAGAACACAGACGGACAATATGAATGCGATAGAGACACAGAAAGACAAGACCAAAAGCTCCCGGGAACAGGCATCAGATTGAGAACAGTCTTTAAACTATATGGGTACATGTCCTCATGGTGTGTGATGTTAATCTGACTTCTGAGATGGTTCACCAAGTTGAAAGCTTGTGAAAAGTCATGAGTGTATATGCTGTACCTTTGTGTTGAGGCCTGTCTGATTCCAAAGTTTCTTTCAGAAGTTTTAGTCCTTTGTTGTAGTGAGAAAGTCTACAGTACTCAGAGTCCTCTTTGGTCTTCACTATGTTGTCCATCCTGTAGGCAGACAAGACTTTAGAAGAGGACATTTCACACACAGAGAAGATGTGTTTGACTTTCTTTGCCGTACCGAATGTAGATCAGGGCCATTTTGAAATACCAGCTTCTCTTTTCCTCCAATGGGAGCTGAAACAGCCTCACAGATATGACGCATTATAACAATGGATCAATTTCATATATCTACACTAGCTACAGACGCTTTACATGACCTTATTCCTACAATCCATACAGAGTGACAACTACTATAGCCACAGGGCACACTGACAGAAGTAAGGCAAACAGTATGTACCATCGGCCCTTCGACTACCACCAGCCTCATCACCAGACTCATTCAAGGCAATGTGGGTGAAGTGTCTTACCTTGCCGCCCCACCTGGTTTTCCCAGTGATTTCCCATCCTAGTTCTAACCAGGCCCTGGTCTGCTTCGCTATAGAGGTCTGACAGGATCTGGCGTTCCTATTCCTGAAACATTATACCCTGATTCATGGATTTTGTTTTCCAAAATTAGGTCCCACTTTAGTATTTCTGAGCATGTATGACCATTAAAAAGACATTTTTGGTTTTGAATTTGTACAGCAGGGTGCTTGTGGGTAAAGGGAGTCTGCATTGTTCTTGTCCCTATAACTTCCACAAAGTTGTATTGGCCCTCGATGAGAATTTACTCCTTGATATATATTGAGAAGTACCTTTTACTGAAACGTTTTCCCCGATGTGTAGGACAGGATATGAATGTAAATGACTGTAATAAGGTGCTTTCTTTTGAACATTCCATTTCCTGTATAGCCCATTGATATATTTTGTCTATGTTGGTCTTCTACGTTTGCTCGCCCGTGACAAACACAGTGACTCATATCTCACCAGCTGTCCTCCATAGTCCAGCGCTCTGTTGTATAGCACCAGCGCCGAGGACAGTCTCTGGCGCAGGTCCTCTTCTTTTTCCAGCTCCACGTCGTAGGGGAAAACATAGGCCTGCTCCGCGAGACAGCGTGCTGCCAGGAGCCTGGACTCGGCCTGGCTCAGCTCGCCTCCCCCCAGTCCCATAAGCGATGACACCTGCTCCACACACTCTGCAGCCTCCAGCTCACGCCCCAGCCGGTCGTACACGTAGCCCAGGTTGGCCCACGAGTTCAGGTTACCGGGGTCCTCCTTACAGATACCCCTGGAACACACAAGGTACATCAGAAAACCTGAATAAAGGAGGGTCTGTTAAGAGTCTTGTGAGGTCTAACTAAAAGGGCAGTGGTGATGATCCTGGACTCTCAACATTCATCAACACTTCATGGTCATCTGCCCCTTATGGACCAATACTACGAACAATGGCCTTCACAAAGTGGACAAATGCAAGAAAATATATGATCCGGTCTTCAGTATATAATGTTTTCTCTGTTTGTCATTCTTCCAGAAAAAAACTGAAAAAAACGGAACAACTAAATAAACTACCTTGTTGCTCTGGTGCGCAAAGATCCTGTCTCAGAGCCTTGATTATCCACAATACAAATGCAGCCAGCGAAAATTCAATTTGGTAGACGTTAACCAAAATTACCCCCTCCAGGCCGGCTCGCATCCCCAGCCTATCGCTCAGCAGACGCCCCCTTCCAATCATCTGTACCGACTCGCCAGCCGCATAAAAGCGGAGAAACTCCCACTCTCGGCCTTCTCGAAGCCTTGCAATCTTCCTCCGCGTCGCTGCACCTGCTGCGGGTCTTGTGCTGTGGTCCGTGGGTCTTTGCCGCTCTCCTCCTTTGCGGGCTCTTTCTGCGGGTTCGCCGCTGCTCGTCTCGTCGCGGCCTGCTGCTGCATACGGCCGGTCTGGCCCGGTGCGGTGGGAGCCGTGCGCATCCCTGCCTCCTCGTGCCGGTACGGCGTGGTCCCGTTGTGTTTTCCCTTGTCTTCTGGCGTTGTGGGTCAGTATGCTGACCTGCGGACGGTTTATTCCCCTCGCATTGTTCTGCAGGCTCAGTTGGCCCCGCGCTTGTACTGCAGGCTCAGTTGGCCCCGTGCATTGGTGGGCAAGCTTCAGTTTAAAGCCCTCGCATTGTTCTGCAGGCTCTCTTAACCAAGCTCCGTTTAAATCCTTCACTCTGACTGCAAGCTCCGTTATTCCTCACATTGGACTGCAAGACCTCAGTTTAATCCCTCACATTGGACTGTGTGCTCTCAGTTTTAATCCCTCACTTTGGCCTGCAGGCTCTCTTTAAATCCCTCTCTGGACTACGAGCTCTGTTTAAATCCCTCTCTTTGGACTGCAAGCCCTGTTTAAATCCCTCTGGACTGCGGCTCCCAAATTGAATCCCTCACATTGGACTGCGAGCTCCCAGGTTAATCCCGCACGGATCTGTTTATATCTGGAACTGCTTATATCTGGAGCTGTTATACCGTACCTGGAACTGCTTCATGCGGAACTGCTTATATATGGAACTGCTATATATGGAACTGCTTATATATGGAACTGCTATATATGGAACTGCTATATATGGAACTGCTATATATGGAACTGATATATATGGAACTGCTATATATGGAACTGCTTATATATGGAACGGCTTGTATGGAACTGCTCATATTGGAACTGCATATATGGTACTGCTTATATCTGGAACGCATATATAAAAAAAATATATATATATAAATAAATATAAATAAATATAAATATGAATAAATATAAATATAAATAAATATAAATAAATAAATAAAAAATAAAAACTGCAGGCTCTGTTGGATCCCTCACATCGTTTAACTCCCTCACACCGGACTGCAGGCTCTCCGTTAAACGCCTCACTTGGACTGCGGGCTCAGTTTTAATACCTCACTTTGGACTGCAAGCTCTATTTAAATCCCTCACATTAGACTGCAGGCTCTGTTTAGGTCCCTCGGCGTCTCGTGTCCCGCAACCTCTTCCCGGCTCTCCGTGAGCCCCAAGTCGGCACGCGGCTCGGGCGCGGGAGGTGTCCGTGGGCTACGTCATTGGCCCCTTCTCTCCGTCTCGCTCTAACCCGATGGGCATCGCCACCCGCAAGCACTCCAGGAAGAAGCGTCTCATACTCGTTCTCTCCTGTCCCCGCTCCGGGCCCGCCCGAGCATCAACAGCCCCTTCCCTCCAGCGCCCTTCTCCCTGCAGTCCGCTACCGTGGACCACGCGATCAGGCTGATAAAGACTTTCGGCCCCGGCTCCCGGCTCTCCAAGGCCGTCATCCCGGACGCGTTCAAGCTGCTGCCATCCACCCCGACCACTGGCGCTGTTCAGGGGTCAAGTGGCGTCGGAGTTCTTCTTCGCAGTGCGCCTCACCTTTGACTGCCGGAGTAGTCCCTCTCGTTCAACAATCTCTCGGAGGCGCCGTGTCGGATTCTGCTTAATTTCGCGCGGCTCCCCTCTGTCTGCATCTCCCCGATGATTCCCTCATAGTCGACCCACCCTCAGACTGCTCCGGGGGCTCTCTCCGCAAGCTCAGGCCCGCCTTCTCTGCCCTCGGATTCCTCCACTCCGGAAAGCCCACAGGCCCCGCCAACGCTCTGGAGTTTCTCGGCATCCGCCTCGACACACGCGCCATGGAGGCCTCCCTCCCGCTGGACAAGCTCGAACGCATCCGCGCTTTCTCCCGGTCTGCCTTGGCCTTCCCGTCACTTCGAGGCGTCCTTGCTCTCCCTCCTCGGGCATCTTCATTATGCCGTCTGTATCATTCCCCAAGGTCGTTCTTTTAATTCCAGACTCCTTTCCCTCGCCGGCTCCGTCTCCTCCCTCGATGACGCGTCTGCCCGGACGCGGGGCGCTGCTCCGACCTGACGTTCCGGTCCAGTTTGCAGAGCCGCTGGGATGGTGTATCTCTTTTTTTTTACAGTGACATCATCCTGTCTCAGATGCCCCGCGGTTCTTCACGGACGCAGCCCCGTCCGTGGGTTTTGGGGGTTTTTCCAGGACCAGTGGTTCGCCGGGCCCCGGCCCGACGCTTTCCCTCGAAGCATCTCCTCCGCGCTCCACGAGATATATCCCGTGACCGGAGCCTGCGTGCTGCGGAACCATACGTGGCATAGGAAAAGGATTTCCGTGACGTGCGACAACCTCGACGTCATCGAAATAATTAACAGAGGTTGTTCATCCTCTCCCCAAATCACATCCTCCTTAGACGCATCACATGGCTCTCAGTCTCGAACAATTTATCATCACTGTTCGTCACGTCCCTCGTCACCTAACTGTATTGCTGACTCTCTCTCTCGCTTTAAATTCCAGGAGTTCTGACGCCTCTGCCCTTCTGCCAATCCATCGCCATGCCAGATCCCCTGCACGGAATCCCTCGCCCCGGCCTAGTCCCTCCGTCTCTTCACCTTCTCTCCTCCGCTGCATCCTACATGAAAATGGGCTTCTTACGCATAAGCAAATTCACAAACTCTCACGCCACCTTTAATGCATCCCGAGACATTGCCTTCTCTGACCTGTCATATTATCCCGACTACTCAACCTCCACCTCAAGCATCCAAACGCAAAGGCGCTTGCAATATAGTCATAGCTCGGTCTGACACTTCTCCCTGTCCCTATAGATCCATGATGCATTACACTCGCCTCCGCTCTCGGAAAGGAGATCTCAACGGACCGTTATTTCACCCCCGATCACCTCCCAATGACATCTAACTGGTTCAGGGCCCAACTAAAGTCCGTACTGCTGCTTTGTAACCTGTCTCCCCATCTCTACACAGCTCACTCCTTCCGGATAGGCGCCGCCACGCGCGCCGCGTCCCTAGGACTCCCCCATTCTGCCCTCCAGCAGCTGGGCCGCTGGTCATCATCGGCCCTCTCCTCATACATCAGGCCTGACACTTCGACCATTCTGACAGCCCAGCGCCTCTTGGCATCTCCATAAATCACTCACAAAACTTCCTGGTGGCGGCAGCAGCCGAGTATCCGCAAGTATTGATCACAGTAGATAGCGGTCACAGCATATAGCGATAGCGGTCACAGCATATAGCGATAGCGGTCACAGCATATAGCGATAGCGGTCACAGCATATAGCGATAGCGGTCACAGCATATAGCGATAGCGGTCACAGCATATAGCAAAAAATGGTTAGCAGCATTGCGCTGGCGGTCACAGCATATAGCGATAGCGGTCACAGCATAGCGATAGCGGTCACAGCATATAGCGATAGCGGTCACAGCATATAGCGATAGCGGTCACAGCATATAGCGATAGCGGTCACAGCTTAGCGATAGCGGTCACAGAATAGAGTAGTCACGACGTCTGTCCCCTCCAAACCAGGCTTCAAAAACTCCATCAACACGCAGCCTTTTTGGGGATTGTGCGCGCTCCATCGCAGGAGCCTTTCCGATCTGAAGGCCGCACCGGGACCTAGGACGCCAAACCTCCTTTCAATAAAATACTCAAAACTTCCTGTTTTCTCGTCTCTCCAAATTGAAATGCAGCCAGCGAAAATTCAATTTGGTAGACGTTAACCAAAATTACCCCCTCCAGGCCGGCTCGCATCCCCAGCCTATCGCTCAGCAGACGCCCCCTTCCAATCATCTGTACCGACTCGCCAGCCGCATAAAAGCGGAGAAACTCCCACTCTCGGCCTTCTCGAAGCCTTGCAACCACCGCCTCCCCTCCTCCTCCTCTTCACCCTGCCTCCAATCTGCCTTCAATCTGCTTCCCGCTGCCAAAATGCCGCCACCAGTGCCTAGGTCCCGGGGGATTGTGCGCGCTCCATCGCAGGAGCCTTTCCGATCTGAAGGCCGCACCGGGACCTAGGACGCCAAACCTCCTTTCAATAAAATACTCAAAACTTCCTGTTTTCTCGTCTCTCCAAATTGAAATGTGTTTTCTGTTTCATTTCTTGTGTTTGAACTGTTTGAGTCTCTGATCTGTGTTGGCAAATTCAACGGTTGTCTAAAGTCTTCCGAGATAACTACTGTTGTGACTTAGGGCTATACAAGAATACATTGAATTGATTGGATTAACAAGGAATCTGTGTGGCAAAGTAATGTAATGCTCTGAGTTGCGATTTCAGGAAGGCTTACGGATTCCGCGCTGGGCTTTGAATCATCTGTTGCAATCTTCATGCAGCTTTTTTCTTCAGGTATTGTGTGTCATTGCTTTGGGATGCGTTTTCTTATATCATATCAGTTATGTGTTGTATCGTGTGGTACTTGGCAATACCCTGTCCCAGTAGTCACAGCTGCCTTGGGGTAGACTGACAAGGCCAATCTGCATCAACCAGCCCTACTGGTCACTACCACCACATTCACGTACTCACAAGATTGATACTGCAGATACTGTGGTGTTGTGTCTTGCTTAAGGACACAGTAACTTATTGCACTAGAGCCAGAATTGTCCCACTATTCCACATTCAGTACATAAAGGTAGCCTGTTGGAAGGCCAAATATTTCCATGGCAGGAGCTCTGGTGTGTACTATCTTGTGGACACTGGGGTAGTCTTGCACAGTTTTTCCAATGTGGTTTTACTGCAAATGGCAAAATAAATTCTCGAATTTTAGGTGAATGAAAAAAGAAAGTACACATACAACGCATACTTTACAGACGTTTTCTAACCTGAACATCTCCTCGGCCATATCCAGTTGGTCCAAATGATACGCCAGGAGTCCGAGTAGGTTCCGAACGGCATACTGTAGAAAGCCCACCTCAGCCTCCAGCTCCCCCTTCAAACTCTCCTGCTTTAGGTACGTGTCCCTGTGCCGCAGCTCCACAGGCCCCCCCGGATCGCAGTTCAAGTTGAGGTCCAGGTGGAAATGGCCCGGAATGTAGTCCATGTCCTCCATAAGAGACTCAATGTCCTCTGAGCTGTTAGCTTCCATGGCAGCTTTAGCGTTGCACCTTTATAAATCAGTAGCAATCATGCCTGCAGTTGAAATCAAAGCAGAAAGCTATATGAGCCAAGGTGATTGTGAAATGGTCCTGTTTGTGTGACCGCCCCATCCTAGACTGGTTCTACGGGTTCTGGGAGGGACAATGTGTGGAGTCGCAAGGGAAAAATGTACTGATTTATTGATATAAACGTGTATGTAGAATGTGTGAATATGTAGAAGAAAACAGTGGCTAACAAAATAGTACAGCTTTCAGTGGTCAAAGCTTTGGTATTGTATTTTTGACAAGGTTTGTTGTCATCATTAGTGAGGTAACAATGCAGCCAAACAACATGAGTAACTAGAAAATGAAAGATACCGACTCGTTCGTCGGAAGAGAAATGTGTCACACCATTCCAGTTGTGAGTTTGTGCGTGTGTCAGGGGCGATCATATTAAAACATGAGGTGTAAAGTAGAATCAATCAATCAACGTGTATTCTTATTCAGTTTTCATCAAAAAATCATCCAATCCAATCCAATCCACTTTATTTCTGTAGCACATTTAAACAACAGAACAGTTCCAAAGTGCTGCACACACACACAAAAAAACTCCATGTAGCTCAACCAGTCAATAAAATAGAATAAAAAATAGTCATCACAAATGGTATAAATAATTAAAATAGGAAATAAATTATCAATTTATAAAATCTATAAAAACACTAAACAGATAAAATAAAGTAGAATTAATAACAATAAATAGCTAAAAGTGAATAAAGAAATAAAATAAATAAAAAGACACAGGGACCACACAACTCACGCAGTGTTAAAAGTCAGAGAATAAAAGTGGGTTCTAAGACGAGATTTAAAACACTCCAGTGTTGGGGCTGTTCGGACATGGAGCTGGCCCTCAGACCTCAGAGCGAGTGCTGGGGTGTAGACTTCAATGAGGTCTGCGACGTACTGAGGGGCCAGTCCGTTCAACGCTTTAAAAACAAACAACAAGACCTTAAAATCAATTCTAAATTTGACTGGAAGCCAGTGCAAAGACGCAAGGATTGGAGAAATGTGGTCATACTTTTTAGCTCCAGTAAGATCAAAAAATCATCTCCTATTTGCATGTTGTTATATATTATCATACAATACAGACTCTTCTTGGATGAATGGGAGATACAGTATGTATAGGAGGAAAATATGTGAATACATTTACAATGGCATATTTTTTCTAGGTATGGTACTGAAAACATGTCATCATTTATTTGGGGATTTGCAAAACGACCACGCATTGCTCTGGTGAATATTGTTGCTATACCAGTCATAATTCTACAATATTTGCCTGAGTAGACGTTTGATCCATGGAATTGATTTGATGCTTCATATAACGGACCAGGTGGCAGCAGAAATCACAAGTATATACGTAGGAAGGGACCGCAGAGCAGTGGGGGATTCTAGGCCTCTTCAGAAGTGACATTAGATACAAAAGGACAAAGGTCACACAGACACCCAGGGACGCGTTAATGTACACTTTACAGTTGAGTGCCATTGCTTTGATCACTGTCACTGATTAGACCACATCCTAAGACTGTTATATAACCTCAAGAAATTTTCTCATACTGGCGGACAATCTGAATTTGAATACATTTGTATTTTGGAATTTTAATGTTTTGGTCAAAGGAATGTAGTAAGATTGAATTTACAAATTGCTTGCAAGACACTTTTTGTTTGTTGTGCATCTGTGGTGGTAAGATTCTATAACTTCAGCTACCCTGGGGCAGACTGGCAGAAACGTGGCTTTGAATTTGCGCACCAGCTCCACCCTTAGCACCAGTTGGAGCTCTGCGAAAAAGAAGTGGACACAATCTAAATGTAAACTCATACAGTTTGTATTTGTGGGGTAGAGAGTGTATTGGGTGTTTGACATCATTCTGAGACCAAATATTGATCCATATCTGTTGGCAACAAATCCCCAGCTGCCCACTGTGCAGAACTCTTCATCAGGGTTAAGTGCACACTGTGTTGTGAGAGAACACAGTGTGTCCAGCTAACAAGTGTGAGTGTATCATGCCAAATTATAACGTCCATAAGAAAGAATGAATGGAAAGACATCAGCTAATATCAGGGAACTTGCAAATGTGCGTGTGTGCATATGCATGTGTGTGTGTGTGTGTGTGTGTGTTTGCGTGTGTGCATATGCATGCATGTGTGTGTGTGCGTGTGTGTGTGTGTGTGTGCATGTGTGTGTGTGTATGTGTATGTATGTGTGTAGGGATGGCAGGTCTGTCACATTGAATGTTACTGTTTGCATCAAAGTAACACCTTTGTCAAGGCGCATTACACTAATTAGATTCTCCACTCAGCTAACCCAAGAACGAACCCATAACTATAGATGTGATGGCTCAGAACATACAGCCCTTGAATTATTTTAATATAACTAATCACAGAGTAGACTGTGACCTTGATGAAGGTTTATGTGTTCCCAGAGACAATGAATGAAGATAGGTTTAAGGAGAGCTGACGCCCACAGACTGTGGGAGATTATATAAAGGAGCAGCATTTTCATGGAAACAAGCCCAGAAGTAAAATATCACCAAAAACAAAGCTATTTAGACTCCCACAATTCTGAAAATTCTAGTGCTCCCAGAGCGACCAATTTGACTGCTCCCATTCCAATCAATGGAGACAATTTCAAAATGTTTAGTTTTCTAGCAGATCTATTAAAAAAAATCGAGTGCAAGACTTTTACCTTTACTCACTTTTTAAGTGGTGGGTATTACAAAAATAGAGCAAAAACATTTTGTTGGAAGGCTACAAAGTGATGGAAGTAAACAATGTGTTGCTATGGTACAGCACTTGCTCTGCTCTGGTGGAAATCCAGTCCACGACCACTGCAGAACCAGTACCTTCAGGTTTTGACTTGATAGAATGTTGGTTGCCAAGACCATAAATGGAGCTATTCACGTTTCATATATGTAAGATAAGCATGGATAGATAAACACATGAAAATAACAGAAACATGTATGAATACCACAAACACACATAATTACACTTCCAAAACGAAAAGAGTGTCAAATTGACTGCTCTGGGTGTTCTAGTGTGAACATATGACATGCAATGGAATTTCATCACTACTGCTTTATTCCATTGATTTCTCTGTTGGTGCTTTTAATGTGAAGGGCCCGGTGCGCGTCTCTGTGTGAGCTATTTGCGACTTGACGGCGTGGGCTTTACGCACTGGAGGAGCCCCACATTCTGCGGTTACTGCTCGCTGTCATCATGCAGGTGGAATCTGCGCAATGTGACTGCTGCTGTTAGGACCCCCCAGAGCAGACGGGACTAGCCCACCAGACATCAACACAGGGTCTGGATGTAGAGGCGACGCACGGGGCATCAGTCTACGCAGGGGTAGTATCAGCTTTGGGGGGGATAAAAGTCATTGGGTGAACTCTACGTTTGTTTTGGTCCAGTGCGAAACAGATTCTCATTCAAACGGTGTGAACAATTTGAAGGGTTTTCTTTGCGTTTTCCCGCTTGGACGTGCTGATGCGGCCAGATTGTTTATCTCTTGGCGCAGTCCAACTCAGCTGGAGTCGCAGAGGATGCCTTTCGCCTCTAGGAAGTGACTCTCACATCAACAACATTCACCCAGAGACGTGTGATCCTTCCCTCTCTAGCTTTTACGCACGCGTCTGTCGACAATGGACGAGCGCAGCAGCGTGAGTGAGAACGTCCCGGACCTAAAAGACATAGAGGTGAAAATTGGACGTAAGACCCCCGAGGGACTGCTCAGGTGGATGCGGGAAGAGGCCACGGCTACCCGGGGTGATGCCAACAAGATGACCGTTACGCACGAGTCAAGCAAGGAGTCTGGGACGCGGAGTTTGGATGAGAAGATCCGCAAACTCAGGATAGAGATGGTAAGGATGTGAATGAACCGTCTGATAAACAGACCTCGTTTATCATGTGCTGAATAGACTACTGAATAGGTCTGTAGCAAAAGTCCTTAAAACGGTTCGTGTGACATTATAGTAGTTAATTATTTTAGGAAAGAACTGCCCTCTCCACTTAAAAAAAAACTCTCTGGTCTTGTTTTGACGAGCACGTATCACCAGAATGAATGACATTTAGCAGGACCAATAGTCTTGATGATCCACCTGGAAGAAGAAAATCCTCCTCCTACCTTTAATTAACTTATCATACTCCTCATAACATGATAGCATTACCTTTAAGAGTACATTCTGCTATTTGCTTGTTCTTTTCCACAATTTAAAACATAGCTACATAACTAAAACTGACAGAAGAAAACGTGCAGTATATATTTACAGGTTAAAGCAAAATGTAGACGATGCATTACATTTTTTCACAAATACTGTCGAGGGCTTGAATTTACTTGACATTTAGTCTTTGGAGTTATTATAAATGTAAAAGCTGGTGCAATGTACTCAATTTAACCATTTAAAAATCTGTTTTTAGAGTGAAAACAGGTCAATCATGGCTCAAGTTTGCCAAAGTTTAGGATAGAATCACAAAACTCTTTGTTGTTTGACAGGCATTTATCGTGATTGACAATAGACAAGGGTCTAGTGCTATGTGTACTGCATGGGTGCAGCTCTGACTGCCACCCCACCAACCCAGAAATGGATTAAGGGGAAGAAAATGGATGGATGGATGAATGGATGATTGACAATAAGGAGGACCAATAGTCTTGATGATCCACCCGGGAGTAGAAAATCCATAAGCGTACCTTTATATCCACACTATAACAATAATTTGTTCATGGTTTGTGTTTCTGTAATGTGTAAGAGTGCAGAAAGGTACTGATTGAAATAAAACATTATTTTATTTGTCACAGAGTTAAGTATTTAAAACAGGCCTGCTTTAAAGTGATATAAAAGAAAAAGCTAAAAACATATGAGTTAAGTTCCCAAGTAAAATTTGCTTTTGACACCATGCTCCGGTCACCTTATCTAGAGCTCTCTTTTCTTTGGCTGTGTGTGACACAGTCACAGAACCAACAAGCAAATCTACTCATCATGTGGCATTTATCAAAACTCAGGTTTTTATGTCTAATCAGAGTCCTGTCTTTGTACATGCATTTTGCTGTGAACTGCACAATAGTATCTGAAAGTAAAAACAAAAGATAGAAATGCCCAGTGCTAAAGAGTTATTTCACCTCATATATAAGCACACTGTAAATATACCCCTATTGATGGCATTACGTAACTGCAAAATGCTGTTTTTGGAGCCGGTGAACGAGATAAATGTATTGATTACAGAGGAAGGTGTATGGCAGACACTGATGAGTGGTTTGTCCCAGGGCAGCTCCCGTACAGACGCACTGCTGGAGTCATTTCCTGTTTGGAAATACTTAATGTATGGTCTCCCACCGCAATCCGCACATGTGCATTTGAAATAACTGTAATCACTGAAACAGCTGCCATACAATTGTTTCCATAAGCTGTGCAACCCTTAAAGGAACAACCAAAGTGTTTATCTAGTCTGTTATGTGAAAACTATCAACATCGAGGAACATAATTGTTGCTTCCATCAATATTGAACTATGAACACGGAGCTGATGAATATGATGCTTGGTTGTGGTAGTATCAATGACAAACTATTATAAGCAAAAATATTGTAAGTCTCTGATCAGTTCTTCGTAACCAGGCTAAGGACATGCAACTTTGTGTATCATAAATTAACCCTTTAGTCGCCAAAGCAGAAGCATTTCTACACAAGCTCCTAAATCCAAGGCAAGTTGCTACAGTATATAGACATGGCTTCCCACAAATGACTCACTACATTTTTGTTGTTACTGTACATAATTTTCTTCTATGCATTTCCATTTTTATTAAAGTAGTCCACTATCTCAAGCTACAGGGCAACACATTTTGTCCATTTCACAATACATTTCTCAAAAAAAAACGCCTAAAGGAATAGTATGAATGTAGCTTGCTTTTATGTACTGTATTACCTTCATTGCCTAGCCACACTGTATGTCCGTTAGCCACAATGCATATTGTATTGCTGTTCTTTTGTATTTTTGTATTTTCATTCTGTAAAGTGACCTTGACAGTTCAAAAGGTGGCAATAAAAAAAATGTATTATTGTTATTATTATTATTACATTTAAACACATTTGATATTTATAATATTTGATTCCCGACAGTACATCATGGTGTAGTTGCATACTGGTTTGGGGCACTGTCTAAAATCTTGGTATTTCATCCCGCTGTAAGCCAACACTGAATTTAACCCTAACAAAATCAACTATCCATGACCATAACCTTAAGTGATTGTTTAAGGAAGTTTACAGAAAGAATTAGCAACAACAATTATTCATTTTTCTCTCTGCCTGGAACGAAATACTAATTTTTGATGAGTCCTGGCTGGTGTGAGGGTCCACGTACAGAGGGGTCTTGCTCCACCAGACAGTAGCTTTATCTCCGACATACACCAATCTGTCGACATAGCAACCACTCTGCCAGGGTTGCTATGAGCCAGCATCAGTAAATCCTGCTCTCCTGCTGATGAATCAGCTGTTGTCAGTCCACTTACTTAATCAAGGACCACTTTGGAAAGAGCTTTTTGGAGCTACATTTTGGTAATTTTCTTGGCAATAATGGGAAGATATCTGCTAAATTATTATAGGATTATTCATGTATCATTCTGATTGCTTCAGGGACATAAAGTGGTTTCAATAAAATTATGTATCACATGAATCCATCCAAACCAATGATGACTTATCCTAATCTTGTACATTTATCCATATATTGCCCTAATAATATTTATGTTTGCATTGAAAAAAGATAAAAGGCTTTTCAAATCATCCTATACTCAAATAACATTAGTCTCCAGTCTGACTCCAGCCTGGCCTTAGACATGTATGTCCGAGTCTGATCCTAGTGGCTGCGGTTACCTCGATTGTAGAGCCCTTGGCCTAGGGGCCCGGCAGCCCGACAACCAGGCTTCCGATGACTGTATAATTACCTCGGACACGGGCCAGGCTCGGGCACTTTTATTTATGCATTTTCAGAGCGGCAGATTACATTTACGAACGTATCCAATGAATATAGCGTTCTATCACGCTGTAGTATTTGTTGTTCTGTATAGTATTGTCATTGACGACGCATAGCGTTACCTTCAAGTGTGTTGTAGTATATTTTGGCATCTGTATATCATACAGCTGCGGCTGTTCACTCACTACCATGTATAACTCCGCCCTCGAGCAGGGCCTGTGTTCATATCAGTGCGCAGCACTATACACTACGCTAAAACACTGTTATGGGAAGTAAAAAATATAAAATTAAAAAAAGTCGGGCTTGATACGGGTTTGGGCCTAAGAATTCTGAAAACCTGTCTGACCGGCCCTGGCGCTCCACTCCCTCGGGCCAGGGCCGGGCTCGGGCCCAGAAAACAGGCCCCTGCAGAGAACTACTCGATTGTATGCCCTCCAATCATTCAGTGAGAGGGGGGCGGGTGTTGTAGGTAGGTGTCGGTGACGTCAAGAGTTTGCGCCACATTTGCTGGTTGTAGTTTGGGAATGGCGGTGAATGCAATAGTAAAGAATTCTGTTCTGGTTCTGCACCAAATACAAAATATATTGAAACCAGAGCAAGAGAAATGTTTAGCAAGTTTCATCGCTGGCAAAGATGTTGCTCTATTGTGGCTCTACTCCCCACGGGCTCTTTTAGTGGCAAAGGAGATGGCTAAAGCTAAGCTAAATGCTAAATGCTTCACTCACTCGGGCACATTACATACATCACAGTAAACTCAGATCCAATCGTTTCAATCTGCAAAAGGAGTTAACCCCTCCCACCTGTAAACGGAGCTCAATGGAGCAAATCCTGACCTTAGTATTAAATGAAACTAGTACGATGGTATGGTAAGACCAGGCTAGTCTGACTCAAGTTGCTCCATGATTCTGAAACAGACAATACTGATCCCGGGTCTGGAAGTTGAGGACCACTGCAATACATGTCTATGAGCTTGAATGTTTCTTACACTTATAAGCACCTGCTAGTTCTGGCCATTAGTCATGTAGTGGACATCTGACCAAAAACAAGTTGTGTTTAGACCTCAAAGACCTTTCACATTGCTTTTGATCAATTGATTCCTTTATGCCTATGGGACGTTGATCGGATTTTCCTCCCTCCAGAGTGAACGCAGTGGAAAGAAGAACCCTCAAGTCTTGCTGCTGCAGGGAAGATTAACCGCATCACGAGAACAGAGATAGTGATGACAGTGCTCTTCTTTTGGTTGTACATTTGGAGATTGTGTGAGCGTAGTCTGCATGCTGTTAGGACATAAATACTGTTCGCGCCTTCACTAAAAATCCCCAGTGTAAATTAGTTATTGCTTACTTTGCAGAAAATATATTTCTAGCTGAGTATTTTGAACAGTGTAACTTGGACGGCATGGTGGCACAGCAGTTAGAGCTCACAGCAAGAAGGTCCTGGGTTTTATTAAACCTCCAGTGTGGAGTTTGTGTGTTCTCTCTGTTTCTGCGTAGGTTTCCTCCAGATGCTCCGGTTTCCCTACCACTATGAATTCAATGAGTGAGTGAATGGATGGTGTTACAGTAATAAGGGGCTTTAACGTGCCAGTGTGTTCAGTGTCTCGCTTCCGTCATCACCGTGTGGAGAGAGTGGACAGAAATCCGAACTCAACAACAAATGTAAAGCACTTTGGGTGACCTTGGTCTGGAAAATAAACATTCTATTAATAAACATTACTTACTTACAGCACCTGAATCACAAGGGGAAACCTATTCCCTCTTTAGCAAATCTCAATTATAGATCTTGTCACTGGTCTGAAACAACTTCAAACCAGTGAAATATTCTTGGTCACATAATCGAATATGTATGGATGGATGGATGACTTGGGCTGCACAATGTATTATGTCACAATGAAAACATATT